TAATTTCTTTCTAATTTTAGTAGAGACGGGGTCTCTCTCTTGCTCAGGCTGGTTTCGAACTCCTGAGCTCAAACAATCCGCCCGCCTCGGCCTTCCAGGGAGCTAGGATTATAGGCGTGAGCCACCGCACCTGGCCCAAATCACTTCTTTATTCTAGGCTCTTTCTACAGTGAAAATATTGAGGGGATTATTGATTGAATATATAATCACATGGTGAGGGCTGATGGGAGGGGGTGCAGGGATGAGGTAGGAGCCTAACTCTTATTTGCTGGTTCAAACAAAGTAGCTGAACGTGTATCTTTAAGGGATGTTTATTTTTTATAAAAGACTTATTTTTTTCATTAACCTTCATTTCTTTTATAGTAGTAAAGCAGTAGTAAAGTAGTATAGCAGAAATTAAGACATAACTGTGAGTAAAACTGTTTTCTAACCATACTGGACACAACCAATGGCAACAAGGAAGCCTAGTAAGTACGTTCCATCACTGTATATGGCAATGCATCTTGACAGACAGGATTATTTTCTTCACTTGCTGGAGGGCCTATATCAGGTAGGATTTCACAGTTATGCCATCTGCTAGCTTTATATGGTGAGTACAGAGGTGCCAGGAAGTGCCCAGTGGGTTGGCAAAGGAGAATATGAAACTAGTAAGACGGGAATGTTAAAACTCTGTGTCCCTTTCTAAAAGAAGTACTCTAAGCATTTAAAATCCCTTTTATAAATGCCATCATGGAGACTGGTATATTGCTTCTTAATACCAAGATTCAGAAAATAGAAGTCTACTCAAATTTGAGGAATGTGTCCTTTAAAATCATTTTGCATGGAAAATAACTACTAGTAATTCCCTATGCAGTTGTTTTTGATAACTTTGACTGAATAGACCTAAATTTTTACATTCCTACAGTTTACAAAACATCAGAGCTCTACACGGATTTAACATGCAGAAATTTCCAAAAAGAAAAGAAGACATATTTTTGACATAACCGGTATACAGGGATTCTCTTCTATTTTTGCTATTTTTCAGCTTTGAAAATGCTCAAACAAGTGTTATTTGAAGTAGAATCTTGTATTTCACTTAAATAGCTGGCCTTAATTACACAATCTCATGGGATCTGAACCCTAGTGATTTTTGTTGTTGTTTTTAAGAATGGCAGCGAAAGGCTAACACCGACATCCCAGGTTACAGGAGGGAGGGCAGTCTGCAGAACTGCTTCTCCTCACTACAGTAACTGCAAAGTCCTGGTTGCTGGCTCTTGGCTTTCTAGAGTTTCTGGATTACTTTATGAAAATTCTTGGTGTAGGTTGGTTGTTTAAAATAATTCTATAACATGGTACATTGAGACAGCACTACCTTGGGCATACACACTGAGCAGAAAGCTAACACGAAACAATTAGAGTCTGATAGTCATTACTTTCTACACGGATGAGAAGGAAAACAACCTTAGAGATTGTTGGCCTGCTGTGGCTCAGAGATGGCCTGACTCAACATTTATAAACACAGCTATACTTGGGGATGTGCTCTGTAGGGCTGTAAAATAGTAAATGTGAAGAAGAGAGGAGTCTTCACAGACCTCTACCTTCCTTTTAAAGTTTTAAAGGTCCTGAGTAAGAGGACAAGTTATATATGAAAATATGGTTCCTTAAAAGGAACTTCTGAGTTGCTTCTATTTTATTTTCTATTTTATAGAAGGAAAACTAGCATTCAATATTTCGTGTGTTTGTTTATGCATACCTAAGCACGCTTTTGATTTGGTAAGAGATAACAATATAAAAATGTTAATTAATGATCTCCAATATCTTAGTTTTTTCTTTTAAAAACTAACAAAGCAAGGCCTTGCCAGTTAAGAAAATTATGTCTTATAGGTTAAAAAATGGACCAGGTTTGCAAGTCCATTTTATCATTTATTGACTTAAAAATATGCCCAGAGACCTCAGATAAAATCCACAGAGACAGAATCTATAACTACTTAGAACCAGGGATCTCTTCATTTGTGTATGTACCATGCCTGAAGGATCAATTAGACAAAAACAAATGACACCACACCTGTCAGACACTGTATCCCTACATCATTAGGAAAAAATTTCAAATTGAACCATTTCGAGTCAGAAATCTTAAAAGGGAAACGAACAACAAAACACCATCTCCAGAAACATGTAATCGTCATAAAATGAAGAACATTAGTCACAATCCCTGAACTGTTTTGGTCACTTAAATATGACAATCATCTGTTCCAAGACAGATTGTTAGGACTTCATAATTCGTCACATTCAACATTACCACAATCTAACAAGTCTAAAACTCCAGCCACTGAGGTACAGATTTCCTTTTTGGCTTCCAATTTGTAACACAGAGGCTTAGAATAAGCCTTTTCTAACTCTTTTCTCTGTATATAAAACACGTCATCCCCATATAATAAATGCAAGTTCAGGTAGAGAAGAAAGCCCCCGCACTTCATCGTCAGTTCTCTGTGACTATTTCCAATCTTACCCTGCTTTTTTCCTGACATCTTTCCCATTCTTTTCCTCCATCCATGATTGTCTTGGCCCCCCAGGTCTGCATTCCAGGGAAGCGGCTCTTAGCAACACCCCAGCCCTTTCTCTGGGCATTGCAGGCCAAGTGTATGCAGCTGGAGCTCTTCCCTCCCCTCCCCTCCCCCAGGTTCACCTGCAGCGGTGTGGTGGCTCTCATCCTGCTCTCCCCGCTTCCTTCTCCCGGCCAGAGCAAACCTTCTCTTCAAGTGGGCTTGACCAGCAAGCAGCTGCCTGCCAGGCTCTCGGGAGCTGCCTCTGCTGCTGCCGCGCTTTGCCAGAAGGGGCTGCCCTGACACACTCAGCAATGCTTTGACAGAGTTAAAAAAAAAAAAAAAAATCCAAACACTTTCACTTATCATCCCAGGAGAGCTCTCTCTCGGCAGGCACAGCTGAAGAGGGACATGAAAATGTGTATTTTTCTTCAGACAGCTTTTCCTTTCCATGACATTAACTGCCTTCACTCCAATCACCTCACCTCCCAACTCCCAATCCACAGCTGCCAATCTCCTGGTGTTAACACACGTCCATTTCAAGAAACAAATAAATCACTGGTTTATTTGCAATGCGTGTGGGAATCCAATGCAGCCAAAGAACTCCCATTTTCCTATTCCTTCTCTTTTCTATTGCCCTAACCCTCCTCGGTAAAAGGTAAAACAAAACAAAGCATAGTTTTATCATTTAACAAAATCACAGTTTTCATGGTCTTTCATTCGAATGGAAAAACATTGTGTGATTCTCCTCCATCGACAGATTTCTCTCTCTGCCGCACACACAGCGTAACATTCATGAGCGCTCAGACGGCACGGAGGGCAATCCTCGTTACGTAAGACCCCAGGAATGCACAAAGCCACGGACAATCCGCCCTTTGTGGGGCCTGTGCACAGCCCCGGAGAGACGCACACGCTGGCATTTCCTACCGTTCTAATTGCTGTGGGGATTCCAGATTCATCCACCGGCCCGATGCCCGGGTAATGCGGGGCTTTGATGACTGTCACTCTCTTCTCTTCCTCTGAGGATCTGTACAGTGGGCCCGTGGTGCCGTCCAGCGACTGCGCATGCTGGGAATACGTCTCCGTGGAATCTGTGCAGGAGATGTGGCAAAGTAGAATGCAATTTGATGCACCAGGAATCATAAACCCATGGTGCCTCTCCCTGTATGTTTATGCCAACGGTAACATCCAGCCCATATTCCCATCACTGTCTCTTTGAGCTCATTTACCTTCCATGTGAGCCGCTCGTTGTGTAGTGGGTACCGTGTAGGTGTGGAGGGCAGAGATCTGTGGCAACAAGGGCCGCCCCACCTTATGAAGAAGGATGAGGCGGAAAGATAACCTGCGTTAAATGACTGTCTAAATCAGCACTTCACTCGCATTACCTCATCTTACCCTTCCGGTCATCTTGGGGGAGGTGGCAGGCCGGGGATCAGGAGCAAGAATCAGTTTTATAAACGAGGGGGCAGGAGCTGAGACAAGTTTAGTATTAATAATTTCCATGAATATTGGTTCTAGTGATATTGCTAACTACTATTATTTATAAAAGTACTGAAATGTATTTTTAGACAAAAGATAGGACTGTGTGGCGTTAGTGACAGTGATTTCATTAAAACGAAGCGAAAACGAAAGTCACTTTCAAAAATCTTTATATCCATAACACAAAGAAATGATAAATGCCTGAAGTGATGGAGACCCCAATTACCCTGATTTGATTAATCCACATTGTATGCCTGTATCAAAACATCACATATACCCTATAAAGATATACAACTATTATGTACCCATAATAATAAAAAATTTAAAAAACATCTTTGCATCCAAACATATGCTATCCTTGGATGTGAAGACTTATGAATAAATAAATGCTTTTAAGATATTAGTATTAATTAATTTTTATTTAAATAGCCATGATGGTCCTAATATCTTTGGTTTTACTTTAAAATACCAAAAAGCATGACTTTTTACCCTTTGAGGATAAAAACTGCCCTATGGATATAAATTAGATGAGGCTTATCAAGTTTCTAACTTCATGTCACTTTTATTTATTTATCTATTTATTTTTAGAGACAGGATCTCACTCTGTCACCCAGGCTGGAGTGCAGTGGCGCAATCATAGCTCACTGCAGTCTCAAACTCCTGGGCTCAGGTGATCCTCCTGTCTTGGCCTCCCAAAGTGCTGGGATTACAAGTGTGAGTCACCATATCTGGCCCACATAATTTTTATTAACTTTTAGGATACTTAAAGAAGCAACAGGTGCATATATGCACTATATATTCTATTTACTCTTAGTTCATAGTTATTTTTGAAAATCGACATTTGAAAATCACCTGGTATGATTAATAATATGACTTCCTATTTTTCTGCAATTAATTTCGAAATTTTGGGGACCAAGAATGACATTTTGTATATACTCTTTATGCCATGATCTGTCAGGACTGCCACTTAGAAAATTCTTTTATGTGCACATGGAAAAGTCCATGTGTTTCAGAATGGGATTCATTGGTATCATCTGTGTGTGTGTATGATATATCTTATAAATATATTTTTCATGAAAGATTTGTATAAAACAACATAAGTAAGCTCTTTAAGAAATTTAGCTGATCATTATAAGGATAGTTAAAGTTAAGATGCCTCTAAGGTAAAATCCATTGTAACATTTATAATTGCTATTACTATTATTATGGCTACTTTCAATTTAGTTTGGATCAGAAAGGCATTTTCAATACATGTTTGATGAAGATTGGATAAAACGAGGAATAAAACTGCTTTATGTGCCATTAAATGTAAAAGCAACATATTTTCCAAGGCTATTCCAAATTAAGACACAATATGGTATTTGGCTCAAATTGACTTTCTGTTTAATTCCCAAAAGAATTTGAGTGGGCACCCGTGATGCTGGTATTTTTATCAGCAACAAATGTTTTATGAACACCTAGTACGTGCAAAGTCCTAGGCTAAGCAAGCACTATCGACTATGTCATCATATCTGGGGCATAAGATTCTATGAACCTATAGCTTATGCGGTAGAAGGCAGCCCTTTATTTTATTATTCTTTTACATGATCTACTAGTTGTCATCTTTGCAATATTTTATCCAAGTAAATAAAAGTGCATTCATTTAGGGCAAGGTAGATTTGTATATTTTCCTCAGGACATACCACAGCCCTGGCCAATTGGAATTTGGTCAATGTTTATATAGGGAATTTCTTTCCGTGTATAGTTGATATGTAAAATCTACTCATTCATATGTTCTAAAATCAAAGCCTGTCTGTATTTGAGTCTTTATATTTTTTGTTCAGTAGGGTGGGGGTGGGGGATGGGGAAAAACCTGTGTTCACTAAGACGGGCAATGAGACAGAGTAGACTTTGATAACAATTATTCAGGGAAATGCTATGGCTAGAATAATTTATAGAGTTTGTGCGATAATGCATAGTTCCATTTAAAAAAAACTGGGTATAGCGGACTCTCATTATTATACTACACCGGAATGATTGTTAAAGGGCAAAATTTTGGCACAAGGAAGTTCGACTTTCTTATACTCTAAAAAGACACACTTATAAGATTCACAGATCCCAAGAGTAGCATTAGAGAAAGCACAGATATATTTAGACTTTTCTTTAATGAGTCCCACAGCTACATTTAAAGTCCTATAGTTATAGAGGTTTTGTTGCCCACAGAAGCTCAGTTCTACAATGCCCATGCTAGATGCTAACATAAAATGTTCCTTGGTAAAGGAATAGCATCATGCTCTTTCAATGCACACGTCAGTGCTGGGGAAGGGGGGTGTGCTGCCTGCCGTCAAAGAGGAAATCATAGTTCAAGTCCTGGGTTCTAGTTTCTTTCCCTCTATTTTCATTTGTGGCCAGAGGACCCGGCCTCCCCTGTTCTGGGAGGTGTGGGGCGGCCCCCCAGTCCTCAGACTGCCCCTCTGCTTCCTGCTGTCCTGGAAGCTTTCTAGTGACTCAATATCATGGAAACTTTTTCAGCCTGAATTCCTATGATGGTTCAATTTGGTATGCTTTTTGATATTTCGGGCTTTTTAAATTACATTTTTGAAAACTAAGAAGTATTTATTACATTATTTTCTAAGCTATATTTTACCAGGTAAGAAGATTTCTATCATTATATAGCAGAACTTCTCTCCCACGAGGCTACAAAGAGTTCATAAGCCCCATGAAATCACATGCTTAAATTTTGTTATGAATGTTCCTATGTTCATTTGTTTTCTGGAGGAGAGCTCTGTCTTTCACCGAATTCTTAATTCCCAAAGGGCTAAGAACGATCACTCTTTAAAATTATGGAATCATCATTTCAGGAGCTTTTGACTTTCTCTTGTGTGGCTTCTATGATCACATCCCTGACTGAAGGCCTTCTAGCCTCAGTTTGAATGGTAGTTTCCTACTTTGTGAGCTTTAATACTTCGTGAGGCAGCCCGTCTCCCTGTTACACTGTTTTAACTGTTAAACAATTCTTCCTTATATATACACCAAAAGAATATTCCACTGTGAAAGCTCTTCCACAGAGGAACAAGCTGCCTCAATGGAAAAGCACTATGTTCATTTACTCTTTTATCATGTAAGCTAACTGGCCACCTTCTTTTTCTTTCTACCCCCACCTCAAACATCCAATAGCAATAGCCTATTCCAGGCTCTGATACAGCTGGAGCCATTGTTGTGGAATAGCTGGGAGCCTATTGGGAGAATCCTCTGCCCCAATCCCTCCCATCAAACAGTGGAATGCTCAGCACTCCTGCCTCACTCGGATGCCTTCTATGCTTCTCATGTGCTTCACACTTGCTGTATTGAACTGGTCATGAGAACTGGGGTGCTCAGACTACTTACCGAGGGATCGGCCATGCTGCATGATAATGCTCGAGTTGAGAGAGGCTGGGAGAGAGTATGCCGAGGGGGAAAACGGCCTTTGGTAGTAACTCATGGGACTCACGGCACCTCCAGAGTTTCCATTCACTGTTATCTGGCTCTGAGAAAAGTGCACAGGCATCCCGTTAAAGCACACAGTGCCCTGTAAACATCATTCCTTTGGGTGATAATAAAAGACTTCCAATCACATGACGGTCATCAGCTGCCAAGTTTTTATTTATTTTCAAAACTGATGTCAGAGGGCAGAGTACATTCTCTCAGTCTTCTCTCTCTTCCTTCATTTCTGAGAATCACTCTTTTATATATGCGGGGGCCCAGGAGGGGGTTAGGAGGAAAGGAAGCAGCTGACCAGGGGCATGCTACTCTGCCATCAGAGGTGCCACACAGTAGCAGTAGGAGTCAGTGCCAAGTAAACATGGAGCGCGACTCTCCTCCTACCAACATGCCTCAAGTAGCCAGAACATGTCGCACTGCTCTGCATGCAGGATTTGAAATGGTGCTCTTGGGCACAAGGAGAAGGCTTGGTTCTCAGACCTACTCAGGGATGTCTTCTAGGATGTGAATGGATGTTTCCAGAGCAAGGTGACTGCCACAAGGAGTACAGTGGTTTGGATA